CGTCTTTGATCAGTATATAAATATTATAAATTGCATTATATATGAAACTATAAACCATGTTATAAATTATATTACACATTATGATATAATCATGCTATATATCATATCAATATTAACGTCACCATGAGGCAATCATGCCATATACCATACCATATCAGTATCAACATCACTATCAGGTTGATACTAATTATACCATGACATAATCGTACCATAAATACCATACTGACATCAATGTCACGACTATATAATCATACTATACATCATATCAATATTAACATCAATAGTAATATTAATATCAATATTAATAACAATACTTACAGTAATAATAATAATAGTAATAACAATAATAATAATAGCATATATACACACACACACACATATATATATGTATATATATACATACACACACACACACACACATACATATACACATATATATATGTACAGCATATTTATTATGTTCATTATAACTGGCTCCTACACGTTTAGTCGTATCTATTAAAAAGATGCTGTTTTAGCAATAATTTAAATCTAGTTTTACTGTTTTTCTGTGTAATGTGTCTAGGGAGTGAGTTCCATTCATACATCCCTCTGTACATGACTGTTGGTTTGATAGTATTTGTCTTGACTTTCGGTGGAGTGAAATTCCCTGAAGTAGCATGTCTAGTTATGTAATTATGTTTGTCTGTACTGAAAGATGAGTTCTGATATAAAATTAACAGAGTTTACGTGACAGAGACTTTTCTAATAAATAGTAATAATGACTAAAGCAATCTATACTTTACAAATACCTAATTCAGACTCATGCATTGTAACCACATTAATTCTATAATTACAACGGAGTGCTATGCGTGCTGCTCTATTCTGTATCATTTGTAATTCCTTCATCATTTCTGCTGTGGCATTAGACCAGAATGCTGGGCAGTAGTCAAGGTTTGACAATGTTAAGGCCTGAGTGACTTGTTTTCTGCCTCTGATGTTTGTAAAGTCTATAAACACAATGATTGAACAAATGTTACTATTTCTGTGTGCACGCTTTGTAATTAATAACATGGTTATCATAGATTAGTTAGGCTAACCATTAGCTGTTAGCCGTTAGCGGTGTCTGTAATAACTCAATAAATGGTCCGTGAAAAAAAATATTTTTTCCAGCAGATGTCTTAGTTACAACATGATTGAGCTAACTGGAGTAGTTTCATGTCGTATCCGACAACGGGAGGCTTTTAACAGATGACGTCCTGATAGCTTTGCTGCTGCTGCAGCCACTGATGCTTTCTAGACATCGTGATTTCCCAAAACTGAATAAATACCACACACAGCAACACAAAACTGCTTTGCTAGCTCAATCATGTTGTAACGGCTGGATGGTTGATGCGTACATGCTGATTCGGGTGCTATCAGAGCCGATCCGCGCATCACTATGGCTTAATGATCAACTCAGTCAATTAAAACAACCAGTCCTGTGTTAGGAGTGTATGTCGCTGACAGAGAGAAAGAAAGAAAAGGGAAAAAAAGATAGAAAAGCAGCGTACACCTCACATATTTATTTCTCACAATTGTGCACACGTTTGGCTGGCATGCAGAAGCACCGTCTGTGTGTCTGTGTGTCGAGGGTGCGAGCCGCAGCTTCAGCTGCTCAGGTAGAGAGGCTGTGTAGCCCGGTGTGTTTTTTCGCTGATTCGGTTCTGCAGGTTCTCTGCTGGTACACTGGAGAGCTCCGGTAAGGGAAAAGCATGAGGGAAAGCGGCCGACCGGAAGTCACGCACAAAAACACGGAAGTTGATCACTATTTACTTCCGTGTTTGAAAATAAGGTGGATAGTCTAACATGTCACAGATTTTACCGAGATAAATATTATTGGCACTTTGTGGTCTGTAACAACAGCCAACCAATATTGGCTTTAAATGAGGCAGATGTATTTGTAGCCAAAGCACCTCCACGTTGTCTTGATGACCAGGTTGTTTCTTCTTGATTGTCCCTCAAAATATTCCATTTCATCCTTTACAGAGATTAGACTATCACATCTTCATGATGTTGGACTGCATCGCATCGCAATGTTCTGTATGTTTTGCTTTGTCCGTTTTGATGTGGTCAACTTCCTTCTGTGTAAATTGGATGCTTGTTTTGATCGCCTGAACTTCTTTCAATATAAGATCCAGTCTTGTGTTTGTTGAGTCCATGATGATTTTACAAAGCCTTTAAAGTTATCTTGTTGTTGCTGTAGTAGCACAGTGAACATCTTTTTCTGCTGTTGGAGTAGCTTGTTTACCTGTGCGAGCAGGACATATTCTTCATCCGGTTTTAACTCCACTTTTGGCTTTGGTGGCATTTGGATTAAGCCAGTGGTCCAACCAAGCAGGCACAGGAATCCCAGACAGCAAGCAAAAGACAGCTCGCAGCTTATGGCTGGAGTTACACAGCACACAGCACCTGGCAATAGGTAAGATGACCAGGTGGGGAGCAGATAGCCAGTAGGCTAGCTAGCAGGCTAAGCTAGGCTAGCAGACAACTCCACATCACAGACACTTCACTCTTGAGTGGATGTAGAACTTCACCCCTCTTTGAACTCACTTGGGTCCCTGCATTTGGTAGATTTGGAGAACATGTCTTTTCTAAACTCATATTAAGTATTAAAATTAACATTTAAATACACAGTAACGGTGGCTTTAAAGTCAGTCTAGCTCACACAGCAGTTGATCTCTCTCTCTCTCTCTCTCTCTCTCTCTCTCTCCCTGCAATCACCTTGAACAAATAATAATCAAGCCAGCCCATTCAAACAGGATGGTGTTTTAACAATCTGACAGCCCACCAGTTTTTCTGATGACTGATGCTTCTTATAGCAGATGACTCTCCTTGCTGGGGATAGGTGCATTTTGAGTATTTATTTTTTTTATACATTTTTTGTTTATAAATGTACAGAAATAAGATGGCTCTTCAGTCTTTGTTATTCATTTAGATTTTCTAAAAATGTTTTTGGTCCTGAATAGATATTTCTATCAGTGTCTGTCATTAGTTTTTCTTTCATAATCACAGATTCAGTTAATTGTTTTACCCTCTTTTTTTGAAAAGCGCTTGGATAAAACCTTAGAAAAACATGTAAAATGTATTTTCTGTGATATTGTTATCTACTTTGAATTTAGACAAAGTGAGGATTCATGATTTGAGCCCCTTATGTTTTCCAGCTAATTTGTCCTAGTTCTAGTCATCTGCAGCAGCAAAATATTCCGGTGAAGATAACAAAGAACCTTTTAATTGAGTGTGTTGAAACTTATATAACTCAATAACAGAAGCACTTACAGTGATTCTGACTGTTAAAGAAAGAACATCTGTTACCTTCCAGATGAGATCATGCATGTACATGCACAAAAAATAGAACAGGTACAGCTTTCAGTTTACTTTGGGTATGCCTTGGACAGATAACAAAACAATTAATAACCATTTGCATTTTTAAAGCTGCAATCAATGAAATGAGGAGTAGCTACATAAAATCCTGTAATCAGTCACCAAAATGTGTGTGCACCTATGTCCGGGAAATTGCTGCTGATTTCATCATCTGTCAATGGTGCATGTGACACAATTTATGTCCTGGGTCTTTTTAGGTATCATTTTATCCTTGAAGTGACAAATTACCTATGGTTGCATAGACTGACTGATGGACTAAACTTACATACACTTACATAAAGACCACAACTACTACTGTTAATTTGCATATGTAAAAACATAACACAAAACAAAACAAAACTTCCACCAATTAACAGTATGGTTTGTCATCTCTCAACATTTTTGATCTCCGCTGTGGAAGTGCACCAAACAGGCACATTAAAGGAATAGTTCATACTTTTTTTTAAGTGAAGTTGTATGGGGTTCTTATCCACAGTCAGCGTATTACATATAGTAGATGTCAGTCTGCACACCCTCAGTTTGGAGAAGCAGGCTGGAGTCTGACAAGGAAGCTTAGTAATGTACTGCTGTAGAGGGGTCAGCAACAAAATGTATGTTAGCCACCTAACTAAAGTCCCACCTAAAAAACATTATAATTTTATCAGTTTAAGTTTATGTTGTATTTGGAGTATTTTCACTGCTTTATCTTGTCAGACAGTGATTTCCAACGGGAAAATGATTGAAGCCAGATTCCACTTAGGAAAACAGTGATTTAAGATTGCTAAACAAAGGAGCTGTTGATCCAGCACTGCCTTGATCAGTTATTTTGTTTATGCCAATGGAGTCTGGTGGCTTTGACGGGGACATAGATGAGGAACTGAAGCCTGTGCCCATCTGAACAGGCTGTCTGATTAAAAGGTTGATATTTTAGGTGGGTGTTTTTTTACGTGGCTAAAATACATTTTGTTGCTGACCCCTATCCACAACTCATTCCTGTTTTTGTATTAGTACCTCATACACCACTTAAAAAATGCAAACTATCCCTTTAAGAATAAAATGTGTTGAGTAATGTTCACCACCAGATGGTGACAGAGACCTTTGTAACACCTTGTGCTGCTAAATAAGTCCTATTTGAATGTTGTAGTTAAACATGGATTATGACTGTTGTGTTAACTGCACAGAGGATATCAGGGTGAAGATGTGTCAGTATATAGATTGACATACTTTGTGCTGATGCAGTGAATCATCATGGAAACTACAGCCCACTGTTAAGTGTCAGGGGAACGAGTTCACACAAGTCCAGCCGAGGCGTGGTGATCAGTCATGTAGAACAGACAATGTCATAATCCAGATATCATATTTCAGTCTGGGTTACTACTGTTTCTTTCACATATGCAAATTCCCAATAACACTCTCTCTGTTTCCCAAATATCTGTCTGGATGTAAATTTCAGTCAAATCAATCCATGTTCACATGCTCCCTCACTTATCAGATATCTTATCTTCATAGGGCGGGGCAAAGGGAGGAATGTGTGTGTGTGTGTGTGTGTGTGTGTGTGTGTGTGTGTGTCCATAACAGCAGAGCCTAAAAAGTGACAGAACTGGAGGGATGACTGTCAGTGACAGCAAGGCGAAGACGAGCAGGACAGGGCAGAGCATTTTGACTCTTTCTGCTCTGTGAATATAACCTAACGTGTGTCGCAGATCTACTTTTTTTCCATGCTGTTCTAAAACTCCCACAGTAGGTATATTTTTTTCTATTATATTTTAGTTTCATATCATGTAATTCAAACATGGGAGTATTGTACCCAGTCATATGTGGTGCTTATTTCCGTTCAAAAGGTGCTAGCAGGGTATGTGATTTACAGCTCTACAACACAAACAGCTCTATGTTTGTTTTGTTTTGTTGTCTGATTGTTTGTTTTTTATGTAGACTAGATTCTCATAAGATACTGTTTCTTGTCACCACCTATCTCACTGGTAATCTCTGAATATATCTCGCATTAGGAATTTATGATCAGACTGGCTGATATTTACAGACTAGAATCATTTATTGATGTGTATATACACTCTGGTGTCAGTTTATGTACACCTACTTGAACATACAGTACAGGCCAAAAGTTTGGACACACCTTCTCATTCAATGCGTTTTCTTTATTTTCATGACTATTTACATTGTAGATTCTCACTGAAGGCATCAAAGCTATGAATGAACACATGTGGAGTTATGTACTTAACAAAAAAAGGTGAAATAACTGAAAACATGTTTTATATTCTAGTTTCTTCAAAATAGCCACCCTTTGCTCTGATTACTGCTTTGCACACTCTTGGCATTCTCTCCATGAGCTTCAAGAGGTAGTCACCTGAAATGGTTTCCACTTCACAGGTGTGCCTTATCAGGGTTAATTAGTGGAATTTCTTGCTTTATCAATGGGGTTGGGACCATCAGTTGTGTTGTGCAGAAGTCAGGTTAATACACAGCCGACAGCCCTATTGGACAACTGTTAAAATTCATATTATGGCAAGAACCAATCAGCTAACTAAAGAAAAACGAGTGGCCATCATTACTTTAAGAAATGAAGGTCAGTCAGTCCGGAAAATTGCAAAAACTTTAAATGTGTCCCCAAGTGGAGTCGCAAAAACCATCAAGCGCTACAACGAAACTGGCACACATGAGGACCGACCCAGGAAAGGAAGACCAAGAGTCACCTCTGCTTCTGAGGATAAGTTCATCCGAGTCACCAGCCTCAGAAATCGCAAGTTAACAGCAGCTCAGATCAGAGACCAGATGAATGCCACACAGAGTTCTAGCAGCAGACCCATCTCTAGAACAACTGTTAAGAGGAGACTGCGCCAATCAGGCCTTCATGGTCAAATAGCTGCTAGGAAACCACTGCTAAGGAGAGGCAACAAGCAGAAGAGATTTGTTTGGGCCAAGAAACACAAGGAATGGACATTAGACCAGTGGAAATCTGTGCTTTGGTCTGATGAGTCCAAATTTGAGATCTTTGGTTCCAACCGCCGTGTCTTTGTGAGACGCAGAAAAGGTGAACGGATGGATTCCACATGCCTGGTTCCCACTGTGAAGCATGGAGGAGGAGGTGTGATGGTGTGGGGGTGTTTTGCTGGTGACACTGTTGGGGATTTATTCAAAATTGAAGGCACACTGAACCAGCATGGCTACCACAGCATCCTGCAGCGACATGCCATCCCATCCGGTTTGCGTTTAGTTGGACGATCATTTATTTTTCAACAGGACAATGACCCCAAACACACCTCCAGGCTGTGTAAGGGCTATTTGACCAAGAAGGAGAGTGATGGAGTGCTGCGGCAGATGACCTGGCCTCCACAGTCACCGGACCTGAACCCAATCGAGATGGTTTGGGGTGAGCTGGACCGCAGAGTGAAGGCAAAGGGGCCAACAAGTGCTAAACACCTCTGGGAACTCCTTCAAGACTGTTGGAAAACCATTTCAGGTGACTACCTCTTGAAGCTCATGGAGAGAATGCCAAGAGTGTGCAAAGCAGTAATCAGAGCAAAGGGTGGCTATTTTGAAGAAACTAGAATATAAAACATGTTTTCAGTTATTTCACCTTTTTTTGTTAAGTACATAACTCCACATGTGTTCATTCATAGTTTTGACACCTTCAGTGAGAATCTACAATGTAAATAGTCATGAAAATAAAGAAAACACATTGAATGAGAAGGTGTGTCCAAACTTTTGGCCTGTACTGTATATGCAGTCTAATAATAGAGCTCTGCCATAAATCCTATACTGTTTGGTTTGTTGTTGAAACTGTTTTAAGTTGAACTGTTTTATTTTATGTTGCTATAGAGTTTTAGTACAACACCTGACAGGGCACTGCTGCAGGTGTATACACTCTCTCCAGGCACATAAAGGAGAACTTCACCTACTTTCTAAATTTGTTGTTATTCCTGTGGTCTAAGACAGTCCAAAAATATTAGTAAACATGAACAACTTTTTCCCCAATCTAAAAACTAGTGTGCTAAAACTCAGATCTGTGATATCATAGAGTATAAAGTCTGGAGCTGCTCCATAGACAATGAATTGGAAAAAAAAATATTATAGATGACACTGAGCACTGAGGGGAATGTTATAGACCTAATCACTGTGACGTTGTGCTAACAACAATCACTTCCAGGTAGACAACTGGCAGTTGAAGTCCAGAGATGTGTTTTATGGTGGTATATAAAACAAACGACTGGGACGAATAAGGCAAAATGAGATAAAATGAAATATTATGTTATGTGATATTACATTAAACAGAAAATATCAGAGCCAAAATCTCACCGTCTTTGTCTAAGAGTCGCCACGCCAGTGAATATACAGGTGAAATGAAAACCACACCCCTGTGCCAATTACAACTACTGGAAGTGAAAGTGACCAAACGAATGTGTGCAGCCTAAACAAATAAGAAACAACAAGGTTAAATACACACTCTGGCTCCTGCTGTGTCAGTGGAGTCTGGTGGCTTTGATATAACGGCTTCAATTCCCAGTTAGAAAAGACTATCTGACAGCAAGTGGTGAAAATACTCTAAATATAACAATATAAAGTGTATAAAGTGATAAAGATTTTTTTTTTCATTGGTGGTCCTTTTTAGGAGGCTAAAATCAAACTAACTGAGACAGTGTTTGCTGAGTAGCTACTGAGTACACAACACAAGGATTTTCTGCCCACAAATTGTTGCAAATAAACATTGTGATTTGGTCTATATGGGTAAGTTTTCTGTTTCAGAACTGAGAACACTACAATGGAATAAAGCTCATTTGGGTATAAAAAAAGAAAACAAACATTCCTCAGATCCACAAAATCAGTCTCCAGTCAATGTCTATGGAGCAGCTCCAGACTTAATACTTGATGACATCACAAGTTTGAGACTTCCTTCTCTTGTTTATGGCTTTGACAAAGAGTAGCTCATGTTCACAAATACTGATTTAACTTTTCCAGGCCATGGAAATAACATACTGGAATTCTAAATTAGGTGGTGTTCCCCTTTAAGTCAGCCCAGTGAGAATTTATACACAACTCCATGATCACGTAAATATAATCTTTATTAGCAATCTCTTCCTGCCTAAAAAGTACCGTTTAGTTTATGGTATCAACCTCTGGGAGGTGCCAGACAAGAGACAGGGAGGAAAAAATATGGAGACAAATATACGCCCACAATGTTGACGTATAAAGAGGGACTAAAAATCTTAAGCATGGAAAAGCAGAGGAAGTACGAAAAACTCCTCTGATTAGTGACCATATATGCAGTTTCCAGTTGAGGGGGAGAGCGATGACATCAGTGATGTGTCATGGATATATTTACTCACATGTCTGTGTTCATGTGCAGACACAGTGCTGTGTTTACCTCATCAAGGCAGTCAGTATAAGGGGATGTGGCTGAGTGTGTGACCATGGCATCATACAAGAATACAATTGAAACACTACATCTGAATAGGCAGATTTTCCTTCTAAAATGATGACATGTCTGCAACTCCAAGTGTACAGGGTCATGCTTGGTCTCTGAAAGGTGATCGACTGAAGTTGTTTTCTCCAACATTCTCCAATGCTTCTGTCATTGAGTTATAGAAGTTTGCACACACTAGAGTTTTTTCTTTGTGTGTTTGTTTTTTTCTCCACATGAATATTTTCTTGAAAACAAAAGCCTGCAGATAAATAGGAACAGGAAAGGGATCATAGCATGAAAGCAGATAATAATATCACTTTCTAAGGTTTTGTCCAGGTGCTTTTATTAAAAAGGAGGATTAAACAATGTACTGAATGTGTGAGTTAGAGTGAAAAACACAACAATCGAGACATAATGTCTATTTAGGACCTTACTGTATATAAAAACACTTCTAGAAAATCTAAATAAGAAAATCTGAGTTTTCTGTGAGACAGAGAAGAGCCATCTGTTTTTTATTTCTGTGCATTTATAACAGTCTATGCTGAAAAAAAAAATGCACATCTCCCAGCTGAGAAGTTCACAGGCTATAAGAAGCATCAGTCATTGGACCAACCAGCGGCCATGCCGTCAGATTGTTAAGAGGTTTTAATCACCTGAAAATATGTTCTGCAGTGGTACGAATAATAAGAATTTACAACCGAAAAAGATCAGTGGGAAAAAGCAGTGGAAATCAAAATTCCTTCTAGGTCACAGACTCTGAACTAAGCTCCACTGCTCTCTTTGTGTTACATCATATTTTCTGAGCCAGTGGTGTAGCGCCAAATTCTGGGCCCCATGCATAAGCAGTCTCAGTGGGCCCCCAAGCTACCTCTCTTGATCCATGTCTCTATCACAAACCATTTGAATTTTTCCTACAAAGTCAGTTTGCTTTCCTTTCTTTCTTTGTTTTCTTTTTTGGAAAATAGATTTGCCTTTTTTGGGGGAAAGACATGATAGTGTGTGTTGGTTCTCCAACAGCCTCATGAGCATCACTTAGCTCTGACTGTGTTTAGAGATGAATCCTATAGCGTCCGCCAGGAATGAGTCCTAAAACCCCGAAATGACCTAGGATCTAGGTACCATATCTGAAGGGTTACTTTTGGTTCCAATGGTCCCATAAAGAAAGTGTTTGGTGGAAACAGGGATATAATGTCAAGAAACCGCTCAGAAAAGGGGTGTCAGGGGGAAAGTGGGACTGATTACCTAGGGTCCCAACAGGAGGGGGGCCCTTGAAAAGCCTCAAATGAAAATAATACATTTTATTTGGAGGCGCCTTTCAAGTCAC